AACACGGAGAAATTCTGTATGTTTTGTATGGAAGGTCAAATCCACGCAAGCCGGTGGCTACATAGTCCAAAAAGAAGTTGAGGGGCTTGTGACTTACATAGGAGTTGTGTCAACCAAAATAAGAAAAATACTTTCTAATAAAAAATTAAAAATGCTCAATAAATATTATTCACGTTGATAGGACTCATGTATCTGCAAAAAGTTATTAACCTTCTCATACCTATTTAGAGTTGAATATAGAATTTAATTTACTTCATCATATATGATTAAAAAGTTCCTATGTAGCAGTCAATTTCATGTTGAGAATAGGGGGTAAAATTATTTGAATATTAGCAAAAATTCGTACCCCTTTTAATTAATCGATGAAGTCTCGCTACATTGGCCACATTTAAAACGGATTACCTACTTGTTTAGAAATATATTTTCAAACTCTCAAAAATAAACAAAAAATAAATTAAAATGTCTATTGGAGTACCTATAAAAGTGTTACACGAAGCAGAAGGTCACATAGTTACATGTGAAACTATGTAAGTTACAGAAAATAGTTTATTTAACGACTTAATTCATAAACGTTTTCAATAATGTGTTTGTGTTTTGTTTTCTGACATAGAACCGGTGAAGTTTACCGCGGCAAATTGATTGAAGCTGAAGATAATATGAATTGCCAAATGACACAAATAACTGTCACTTATCGAGATGGTCGAATGGCTACTCTGGAAAATGTTTATATTCGTGGATCCAAAATAAGATTTCTCATCTTACCAGACATGCTTAAGAATGCTCCAATGTTTAAAAATAAAGCGGGTAATAAAACAGGCACCGCTGGACGTGGTAAATCGGCTATATTACGAGCTCAAGGTAGAAACAATTTGGGAAGGAAATGAAATTGAGTTTAAAATTAATTAATATTTTTCATTTTAGCTGCTCGAGGAAGAGGAAGGGGTGGCCTCAATCAAGGGCCGTCAAAAGGACCTCCTGGGAATAAAGGAGGTCCCTGGCAAGGTGGGCCTACTGGTGGACGAGGCCGTGGAGGAATATAATTTATTATACTTAACAATTAAGTATTATAATTAATTTCTCTTAAGCATTCAATAAATCTTTTTTTAAAAAATATTTCTTTTTATGAAAATGAAATGAAAAAAAGAAACAGGTTTTTGGCATGTATAGAGCTGAGTGGAATTGTTTCATTTATTAATCTTTATTATCTAAATTAAGAAATAACATATAATTACAATAGTTTTTTCTCGTACATTTATTTAATTCTTTTTACGTGGAAAAACTAGAAAAGTGTGTTTGAATTAAATTATAGACTGCTGTTAAATAATTCTTTAACTTTTCATTGAGCCATTGTAAAAATTGAATAAGTGACAACTTCTTTTAGGCTTCCTGATACATTTAACTATTTTCTCGTCATGTTTAAAAAACTGGACAACATTAAAGTGTTGAAGGCGGTAGAAATTATCCTTAAATATTTACATCAGCTTTTTATCTACCTAAATAAATTTGATAAAATTCTATAATTCGAAAGTAACATTATATTGATTTTGTTACCGCAACAAAGAAAATGTATCAACATTAATTTTCAGATTCTTCATAACCAGAATTTAAAAATATTTATTATGATAAAGGATTACACAGTTTTTGGAAATGATTCTTAAGGATGTGCTTTTAAAACTTGATGTGTCTTTACATCGTATAAGTCACGATCATGAGATTAAATATTTTAGTGATGCATTTTAATCAAGGGATAATGAAGAAAAATTGGCGACTAAGAAAATACATCAGCAAATGTTTTCTCATTCTTTTCTAAAATTCATAATTTCTTACTGGGTACTAGTCTTCTCTAAATTCTTTTGTGGAATATGAAATCTCGTTCTAAAATATCAAAGACTATTTAAGATCAGAAAATTTCAAAAATAATAAAAATGAGTCAACTCATTCCTAAAATGTTTAACAAATTTTTCGTTCATTTAAAATATACCTATCTTGGATATATTTAGTTAACAGGATAGCATTTCTTTGATTTTATTCTGATAAATTTTAGAATTGGGTATTTACATCTAACGATTAATGTTAAGCTTTATGATATTATTACATTGCATACCTTTAAGAGACCTTTTTTATAGACGCTTTTCAGCATCGACGATTTCCTTCGTATTATCATAGACATTATAATAAGTTTTCTTATTTTAAAATCTTTTCATTACGCAATAATTATTAAAAAAAATCCTTTTCATAACGCAGGATATCAACATCAGTATAAGCTTCTTAAATCACAAGAAATCAAATAATTGTACGCAAATAAGACAGATTTATTTGGCCTAAAGTATCCATTTTATTTTAATATGCGAATGGAGCAAGTAGTTTGAAAGTTTTCGTTGTGATTTGTTCAAAAGTTCATTTCAATTCTATCTAAGATATATAAGATACTTAGATAATTATGGATAATTGTGTCGATGTCTCTGAGAAACTTATTTCTTTTTTTATTTTAGCTATTGAATGAAAGCAATTTTAAATGCCGAGTTTCGTCGAGCTTTTGTAAGTTTTGGCACAAAATTACTTGATTAATTATTTTTTAAAATCATCTTTAGGATTTTCATGAACCTCGAATAAAATTTTACTTCGAAAGGAATTTAATGTTTTTTATTATAAAGTCAACGATCTAAATGTACAATACATATTAAAAAATTTCTATAATTTCCACAAATTTACATAAAAAATGCGTAATCAAATCTAAAGTGTGAACAAACTTTTACATCAATTGACTTTTTATTTTATTTTTAAAAATATATAGAAAATTTTAACTATTTAAGAGAAAGAAGCCTCTTAGACAGGTCTTTTAGGTCAATAGACATTTCATAAAACCAAAATGTAAAAGA